GCAAGATAATTACAGTCAGAACAATGAAATAATATGCAAAGAAGTCCATATCAAAACTCTCTGTTAAGCATTACACAAAGTCAGAGTCACACTAATTCTGTAGGGTAAAGATTTGTATACATAACTAGGAATATAGAAATTCTTCAGTGAAATCAGTTAAAGCTCAAAAGGCCAGGAGCAACTTGGCCTGGAATGTTTGAGTGTTGTGCAGATAAAGAAAAGTATCTCGGAATAAACCATCACTTTATTGCATCAATTACACCATGACAATGTAAAAAGGTCCATCCCTTCTCTAATCGTAATCAAGTAATCTGGAACCTAGGCAAAAGACTACTTTGGTAAGCAATCTCAACTATAAACAACCCAAGCAAACAGACAACAACTCAGCCCACCTTGGGGACAGGGCAGGCGGTCTTACAAGTCTGCACCCCTAGCCCTTTACCTTCATTCTTGAAAATCCTCAACTGACTGTAAAAGCCCAAGACAACAAGCCAACCATGGACTCTCTTGTCCCCTCCTGGCATGAGCCAGGAGCTCTGTCCTTTCACTTATCTCTAAATAAAAGCCTCTACCTTGCTCTCCTACCTTGAGTGTTTGCAAAGTTCATTCTTTGGCTCTGTGAACAAGAACCCTGGTATCAGTACTGTTTCCAAAACAAGAACTTTTTCCTATTTTATTATGAACCTGAAAAACTGTTAAGGAAAAAAATGAACAGTTTACACAATGAAAAATGAACTTTAATTCAGGACTAACATTCATTTTCATCAAATTGCTTTGTGTGCATTCACTATGTTTCCATCTCTCTCCCTTAAACTTATTTAATACACACTTTGCACAAAAGAACATGACACACTGCCTGCCATTTTAATAGGTATATAGCATGATACCATGCTATTCAGCCTGATTCCTGCTCTAATTTTTTGTTACATGTATAAATTTATTATTTATAAATAAATGTTTTACTGTTACAAATAAGCTTCATGTGAACAATATTCCTAACTCCTTTATAATAATCCAGAATCACTAAAATAAGGGTAACTCTTGAAATCTTCAACATTCCTCTGCATACAGGAACTCAGTGATATACTGAGATATTCTGTCATTTAACTTTTATAATCATCTTTCTCCAGTACAGCTCATCTGTACCCAGATCAGTGGTCTCTCAAATTTCAAAGTATTAATTTTCACTGAGCTTCATGACCTGCATTAAAATGGCATATAAACTACATAAAAAGTAACTACAGAGAATATCTCAGTACAATGCTGTTTCTGCAGGATCATTTTTATTGCATAGTTAATATTTTAAAAAGACTAAAAATGACTCTCACAAGTTTGGCATTTCATTTCTTGGAAAAAAACACAAGTTGCCAAACACATGGAACACTACATCCTATCCAGACTTTTCTTTTGTTTGTTTTGTTGTAGATACCCCAGCAGTTAACCTTGCTGTAATGTAGTTCTGCTAAAGTTTAATCTACAGCCGAAACTAATCTAAGAGAAAGAACAATATGTTTTCTGTTTAAGCTTGATTTGTAGCTGAAACTAATCTAACATAAAAGAAAAATACGTGTTGCACCTTGGAATCTGGTGTGAGTCATGAGCAGTGTGCGACAAGAACTGCAAACAGTTCTCCTGATCCTTCTGAAGATCAAGGAACATGCTGTGAAACTCACCTAACCAGATGACTTGACTCAACATAATGATGCCGGGATTCTTGTTTGCAGAGTCGAAGAATGAACTTAGCAAACACCCAAGGCAGGGGAGCCAGGGAGAGGCTTTTATTGAGAGATAGAGTGAGAGGACAGAGCTGCTGGCTCATGCCAGGAGGGGACAAGAGAGCCCCTGATGGTGTGTTGTCTAGGGGTTTTATAGGCAACTGAGGATTTTTGGGAACGTGAAAAAAAAGGCTTAGGGGTGTGGACTTGTACCACTTGTGTTACCCTCAAAGTGGGCTGGGTTGTTGTCTGTTTGCTAGGGCTGTTTACAGTAAGTCACAGTTTGTGCTGTGATACCTTCATTTCTGAAACAAACATTCCAGGCCATGTTGCTCCTGGCCTTTTGACATTTAAGTGATCTCACTGAAGATGTCTATATTCCTAGTCTGGTATATTTACCCTAGAGAATTAGTGTGATCTTGACTTTGTATAATGCGTAACACAAAGTTTTGGTAGGGAATTCTTTGCCCACTGTTGCATTGCTCTGACTGTAAATATCCTGCCTGGCTTTTTCCGGAGGCCCTCACCCTACTCTGACTACATCCACAGTCCCTGTCTCAATAAGAGGGACTTAAAAAACACATATGTAGTTTTCAGTTGTTGGGCTTGATGAAAAAAACACATCCTATAATCATTAATAGATGCTTGTCTTTCTGCTTGCTGTAACTTAATGAAAGCACAGGGCAGCACTGACTTGGTGCTCAGTCTCCAGAGAAAGTCTAAGACCTCTGCTTAAAATGCCATTTTGACTCGGTTTCTCATTTTCGTGGTCCCTAACTGCAATATTTTATAAGTTCATTGATGGAGGGTAAACGGGAGGAGATTCCCCTGAGACCATGGATATTGACTGGGGAGGCAAATCTGGCCCATATCTAAGATGACAGTGGTAGTGATAAGGGAAATATTCAGCATAACTGTCAAGGTCAGCAAACCGCTATTTTCCTCCGGTTGACAAAGTCAGCAGAGCACTCCCGGCCCCCTCCTCCCCTCCTCTGGGCTCCTCTTTTGCCCTGTGCACCCCGAAATGCCACATATCAAAATAATATAAATCGCCCCCCTTCCTTGTGCCCAGGGCTCAGTCCTTGGGAGATTACTCCCCTCTGCGCCCGCCAGTGTACAATAAAACCTCAACCCTCTAAGGCCTCCGAGTGCCGCCTGGTTCTTCTGTCAGTGACCCACTCCAGGTTTTCCAGTTTTTTCCATAACAGTAGCACATTTGAATGGCAGGGCCCTGCATCCCATTCCCACATAGGACCCAGAGCACTGGCAGGTGTGTTGCATGGCATGTAGCTGCCAGGGAAATTGACCACTAATAACCCTCTCTTGGGAATCAGTGAAGCTCAGAAAAGAGGCGTCCTGCCTTTGAATGAGCCTCATCAGCTTGGGCAACAATCAGTGGTTGAATATCTCAGCCACAGCCGGGACAGGCAGGAGTTTTGAGGTCTTCAAGTTTTCTAAACTTTATAATGTCTTGAGATGCTTGGAAGCTCCCAGGCAGGGTATCAGCTAAAGAAGTGAAAAAAAGACTATCGTTGCCCCATTACTGGGGAAGTGGGACTTAGTGGCAAAATTGTGTTGGCTTAGAAAAGTAAAGCAAAGTGATGTTCCTTGCACCCATTTATGGAATCACATACTTACACCCAGGACACTGTGTCATCTAGACTTGCCTGTTCTAATTAGAATGTGATTGGAGCATGGAAAGTGAGATGGTGCCTCAGAGCCCTAGAAATTGAACTGTTTCCCTGAAAATGGCTCTTGGGTTCCATGACTCAGGCTTGCCCTGGAGGTAAGCCTAGGTTTGTGCTTTTCCTTGACTCAGACCATTGGGACAGATCTCTCTGTCTTTATGGCCTTATTTCACTATAATTCATGCCACCACTATTTTGTTATTGTTTTGTTCCTGCAATTTTGTTTTATCTATCAATAATAAATAATTAAATCCATTTGTGTTAGTACACGAGGGACATGAAAAACTGTATGATAAAAACACAGCCTCAGAATGTGCTAAATCACTGGTAAATCAAAACTGTATTAATGGGAGGCATCAGCATCGGTGTTGTCACAGGGCATAAATAGCCTCTTGCCCATGAAGCAGGGCCACTTCCTTGCAGCCCTTAAGGACCCAGGGAGACCTCATTACTCAGCTTGTGATGTCCCTGTGGGCTTGGCTCAGAGATGCCCAGAACCCAGGCTCATCACTGCCATGGGATGTGGCTCCTCAGAGAACATGCAGGGAGGGGGAGCTTGTGGGGGGTGTTGGGGCCAGAGGGGTGCATCTTCTGGCTGTTCCATGAGCCCATATGCTAGAAGGTTAAGGTGAATAATTTCTCACTCAACTATGGGAGCTGCCTTTCATCTAGCTGTGTATCAAACAGGACCAGCACCCCTGACAGCTGCTCCCTGCAAGTCCAGCAGCCAGGCCATGGGTCCTAGTGACTTTTTGTGGGAACTTTTCCTGCCTCAGAAACAGGGCTTGACCCCAATCCAAAGGTGGCATTTTCTTCACCCTTCTGTAGATGATTTCAGTTTGCCTAATCAAGAGCAGTGTATTTTCCCCCAAAGCTTAGGGATTACTTTCTGTTCTTTTAGCTCTCCAAATCCGCATGATTCAAGCTCCTGTTTTTTGCAAAATAGATCAAGCAAGCAAGGTAATTTCTTTACCAGGTCTCTGGACACCATCCAAACTCCAGAAATCATTTCACTTCCACATTAATTTAACTCATAGTCTTGCTGTTGTATTTGGAGCCGGGTGACTGGGTCATACTCAGAGGAAATAGGACTATTTAACATGCACCAGAGGAATTATTTCTACTATACTGCCAATACTATGTTACCTGAGTCAGGAGTTCCTGTGCTGTGTCATAGAGCCACAAGTCTCTGTGTTTGAAACTCATCACTTGATCACTAAGCCTAAGTCACAGCGTTAGCCTAATGGAATCTGCTGTGGACTTAATGACCAGCTACAGAGATTTTACCAGCCTGGTATTTGCATTGCTCTCACCCTCTCCTCTACCTTCATGCCCCCTGTTTCCCCAGTCTGCTGGGCAGACACAAAGAGAAGTGCAGAGGTATCTGGTGAAACATGGCCAAGAGAAAGGAGGCTGGAGTGGGCAGGGTGAGACCTCAGCTCTTAATCGCAAAGACAGTGAAGTTTAGGCTTCACCCCAAAGGCAAATGGAAACTATTCATGAGTAATTAACCGGAGAGTAACAAGAGCAAAGTATTTTTTTTTTTAAATCCCTCTAGCCCTGGACTTGGCGACTGCAGCTAGAGGACTGATAAGCAGGCCAGATGCCAATGATGGTGGGTGTGCGGGAAGTGAGGGCGTTCGAGACACACTTAGGTTTGCATGATCAAGGCTGGTGACTACCCAGACTCACTGAGGCTAAAGGAAAAAGGAGAGGTAAATAATACCAGCTTCTGTTTATCGAATGCTTCTAAAGTATTAGTCACTTAATAACTATTACCTATATTTATTCCAGGAGTCTTATAGGTCGGTCTTATTTTCATTTTACAAGTGAAAACAATATGTGTCCCAGAGAAGTGAAGTTATATGCTCTGAGAAATATAGCAATTAGGGATTTGGACTCAGTTCCATGGTCTTTTCAGTGTGCCACACTACCTTGTAACAATTGAAAAGGAAAGAGAAGAAATTCTATTGAAAACCAATTCTCACCCTTAAAGCTATAACTTCTTTGCCTACCTCTTACCTGATTTTAGAGCCTGTTAGTTGTGTAAATCCATTTTATATATTTAAAGTATGAGTTTTCTCTAAAAGGTTGGCCGGACACCTCTTAGATGCTGCTGAACAATTAGAGGCTATTTTACAAATCAGTGTGCTTGGTGTATGAGCGACTAGTAAAATAATTTTGGATGGCTTTTGATTTTTTTGTGAATACTCTGAAAATCAATTATTTCTGCTATCTTCAAGCTTCAGGGCCAATGCAGGTAGACCTTTGGCTGGATCACACTTCCCCTTCTCACATTATAAAAAAATTATATTCCTTCCCACATCAGTCAAGGACAAAACTTGTTTCCTGATTTACACAATAATTGGGCATTTGACATTGAGAAATTATAACGAAATAGCTAACTGATTTTTCAAATGTGATAAAATGTAGTCTTGTCTGGAAAGAGATGGGAATGTTCCCATTTTGACTTCCTCTTTCAGAAGAGCATTCTGATTTCATTTCTTTGTTAAGTATGATCTTTGGGCTTAAGGTTCCTCATAACCAATTGTGCAAATGCAACTGCATATTCACTAAATTTCTTTTGATTGAACTAGAAATCAGTGAATTCAGTCTGTAAATGAGCTCTGGTAACATCACTAAATGTTGGGGGAGAAGAAATTGTTGCAAATAGGGAAATGAGATCACATATGTGTATTTTTGTCCCTTCTTGATGAATGAACATTTTATTGCTACCCTTAACAAGCAAAGAAGATAATATGCTAAGTATCTTATTAACGATAATGTGTATGTACACATTTAATTGCATATAATGCTATTCTCTTTCTGGGCATCACTCTAAGTGGTTTGGGATGCAGCTCCTCCATCTTCTCACCCCCCACCCCCACTCAGGTCAGTATAATCCCACTGCCAGGTGGCTAGTTGCTGGCATGGGAACAGTTACTTCCAGCTCAGTCAAACAAAAGCTGAACTCACAAACATAGTGCATTTACACCTGGGCCTCTCAACGAACGCACCCAAAATGATAAGGGCTGATATCAGTGTTTCACATGTTTGTTTTAGAAAACAGTTTCCTTGACGGTTGATTCAAAATGATTTTCAATTAAAGAGTAACTTAGTAAATTAGGGAAGTAATATAGAATGATAAACTCTAATCTGCTTTAAAAAAATGAATAGATATTTTAACATCTAGGGACTTAAAATATTTTCAGGTTTCATCATAAGTACACTATCTTCTAAAATAGAAAAGTTTATGCACACACACACAAACTACTATTTGTGAAAAAGAGTGGGAATAAAATAAACCTAAATGCAGAAGAACTGTCTTTAAAATATCTTCCTTATGTAAGAAATTCGATTACACTGTAAGTTAAATATCTGTGTGTACTGTGGTGTGTGAAAAATGGTTTAGACCTGAATATCATGATGGGACCATGACATGGCTTTCTAAGTAGTCTCCTTACCTCCAGTTTCTCTCCCCTCCAACGTATTCTGCAACCAGGGCATGCCAGTCTGGAACTCAGAGGACTTGGTGTTTATACCACACATTTGTCAGTCACATGTCATTCATAACATCATTGTCCTTTATTGTAGTTTACTATCACATTGTCCTTACATTCATCATCATGAGCTCTGAGGGCTTATGCTCTAAGTCTTCTTCTCTGCCTTCTCAGTGTACAATATAGATACTCAACAAAAGTAGTAAAAGCACTGTGCAAAATATGCTTTCCACCTATTAAGGTGTTTCTCCTCTCTTGACCACATGTGCTGAAACAGGTTTCTGACATTACCACTGATTCAACAAAGCAATACAAACTTGCAACTTAAAACCAACCACAAACTATGGAAAGGATGTTTGTCTGAAACACTAGAAAGTGGTTACAAAAGGTAGCCCAGAATTTTGAAAAGAGAATAACTTTTTTATAGAGTTAACTCAGGCCCCTGGAATAAAGCAGAAATAAGACCATATGTTTATTCTTCATGCAAAAGCAGGTTAAAAAAATTGAAGGCATGACTCAACACTTTATTTAAAGTTAGCAAGGGAAAAAAGTTTTATATTTAAATTGCCAAAAAATTATTTATGAGTAATTGTATTATGGAAGAAGGTTCTGTGTAGTTATAAAGCTAAGTTCTTTGTACATTCATTAACCAAGTACATAATAAATGTTGATTGAATATCTTCTATGGAATAGGCACTGTATCAATGCTGAGAATACCAAGGTGGAAAAGCATGATTGTTTTCCTCTATAGGACATACAGACCAGTAATCACAATCCAATGTAATATTTGTTTTAGTGTTGGTCTTCCCAAAGGGCTGATGAAACGTGCAGGGGATTTGACATCTGTGAGGAAGACACAGTGAAACCTTCACAGCATTTCAGCTGAATGAGAATTGGAGGAAGAATAGGATGTTTGGTGGACAACTGAGGTAGGAGATGTGGCAGAAACTTCTAGTGCTCACCCATGTCTGGCTCTTTCTCCTTCTAGGCACAAGGAAGAATTATACTTGCCTATTCCCTTATAGTCAGGCAGAGGTATGTAACTAATTCTGGCCAAAGAGATATAGGTAGATATGACAGGTGTCACTTCCAAGCTTAAGCATTTAATTACTAATGCAAAACACTCCAGCATTCTTTGTCTGCCTTAGCAACTGGTGAAGTGGTATGTGTCAGAATGTGTAGCTACCCAATGGTAGAGCATCTACGGATGGGCTTCATTTGTGTTGCAAATTCTCCACAATTATACAAAATTATAACATGTGTATTGTATATGTATGCTTTTGTCAAAATAAAGTAAAAAATTTTGTTTTTTATCCACTTATTCTTAAAGGAAAAAGTACCTAAAGTCTGTTAATAATCATTGCTGAAAGCTATGTAGAAACTGAAATATTATGAGCAGAAGAAATTTTTTTTCTGTAAAAAAGATCACTATTTGGTAGTTATAGACTAAAGTGATAGACTGCATGTGTTTGGAGAAGAAAGGCAGGAATTAAAGGCAAGGTAATAGTAGAGATGGCGATCTTCAAATGTCCACTTTGCAGAGAGAAGAAATGACCCCATAACTTACTTACCATACTGTTACCACTTCCTGAGTTAGAAGTACTCAGTCCTAAGGAAAAAGTACCGAAGATGAGATGTTTTCTTAAAACCAAAGTTTGGTGGGATTATATGTATATCTACATTAGCATTAGGTTTGTGAATGATCACTATTTGAATCAAAATGCACATACGCCTTCAAGTATTCGCTATAAACCTGAAGTTCAGTAGGGTAAATCTATGTTTATGGGAAATTTATTAGGATTAAAAAGCAAAAAAGCAGGAACTGAAAGCCATGACACTAATAAGAAGGCATCCTCTCTGAAAATTAGGGTAATTCCACCTATTTATGTATCATAACATTGTATTCAGCTGGGCTTCTTTGTAGAATACAGTTTAGAGTAATCAGTAAATCCTATTACTGTGCTAAGTTTAGTTAACTAATACAAAGTTTCAGTAAAACTTAGTAGCTCACTTAGGTAGTTATTAATAATTAATCCTTTGGTGTATATACAAATACATGGAATTGAGCACCATTAGTCCATGAAAATGAAATCTCTCATTTTAGATTCATTCATGGTCTCTTAGCAGGATTGTGGACTGCAAATCATTCTTTGAGGGTTTGCTGTTACAACAGATGAGAGAAACAGTGAAAGGCCAAGAAAAAATAAGGCAGGAGGTACAGAGAGAAGGGGTCAGGTAAGAGATATGAGGGATCAGAATCAACAGAATTTTTTGATTGCTTGTGTGGGGAAATATAAGGTAGAAGGAAAAAAACTAGCTTGAGTTTTGAGTTTCTAGTGGGTCAGTGATGGGGATGCAGGATGGTAGATAAACTTGGAGGACGACAGGGTGCATAGGAGATGATGAGTCCAGTTTTGAGTGTGCTGTGTTTGAGATCTCAAGTGGATATGCTCGGTAGGCAGCTGGATCCTGGGATTCTTCAGCTCAGAAAAAAGGGCCTGGGCTGGAACTGTAAGTTCCTAACTTAGAAAAGTGAAACATTCATACCATAGTTTGATTCCTCTAACATTTATAATAATAAATAGGAACTCCAATTTTCAAAAATAATTCTATTATATCTCCTGATAAATATAGACAACCAGGATTAGGGGAGGGAGAAGCCAGAGCCAATTAACATTCTTGAAATACAGTGTTGGAGAGGAAAACTTTTTCTCTGCCCTTTACCTGGTCTAAGAATCAACTTGATATGAAGTGGCTTAACGGGAGAAAACAAAATCTCTGAAACTATGGGGAATCCATGCAGACATGAGGTTCCAAAGTCAGCCAGGAACAATGATATATATCTGTCATCCTGAACTAAGGAAGGGAGCAGAGTTCTGGGACTTCAAAGGGAAAGGGAAGCAATTCACAGCAATTCACAGCAGTAAATGTTTGGTAAATAAATGTTCGCTGGGTCACAACTGCATACAGGAAGGAATTTTAACAGACAGACTTTGCTAAAATCCTCCTTGTCTACCACTCGTAGTTCATATTACAATGTAGGTATCTATGGAGAGAGCGCTATTCATGGAGCAGGCCCTCTGCGTAAACTCTTTTTAGGCTGTTAAGAGGAAAGTCACAGTTTCTTTCTGAGACTTTTGGGCCTTGATTTTTTCAGGTCTGACATAATCTGCCTGCCAAAGTGGTGCATCTTGGGGCAGCCTGCCTTTGACCCCTACAACTGCAGGAGCAACTACATATTTATAATCAGAAATTCTCGGTGAGTGAAGCCTCCACTGCCCAGTTTCTTGGAATTATATTCTACACGTCCTTTTTTTCCTTATCAACTTCTCCCTTTGTAAATCATGACATTTGTGTTACCATTTATGTTGCTGCTGTTTGAATTTTCATTGCTGTATAACTTACATTTAGTAAAGTTTGCAAATTTTAAGTGTGCAGCTGAAGGAATTCTTACATGTTTCTATGTAATCAACACAGGGACCAACATAGAGAATATATCCAGCAACCCAGAAGGTTCACTTAGCCTCCTTCCAATCGACAGTTCTCCAAAGGTAGCTACTATTTGGATCTGATTTACCATTAGTTTTTCCTATTCTGAGCTTCATAAAAATGGAACCAGAGAGCATGTTTTCTTCATGTGTGGCTCATCTCATTCCACCTGACATCTTTGAGATTCATCATGTGTTACCACTCTGTAACAGTAGCTCATTTTTTTTCTGTGTTGTATTATTTTGTGTAAATATACCACAACTTATTCATTCTAATATTGATAGATTATTTTTCATCTGTAAACAGGAAGTTACTATGAACAGTCCTGCACATGTGTTTGGTAGACATATGCACTTGCTTCTCTTGAGTATCATCCAGGAAGTGGAATTGTTGGGTCATGAGATAGGTTTGTTGACCTTTCATAAATCCTGTCAGTTTTCCAAAATAGTCATGCATATTTAGGCTTCCCCCAACAGTGATGAAAGTTCTCATTTCTCCACACTCTAGGTATTACCAAAACTTTTCATGGTAGCCTATCTGGTGAGTAGGAAGTGGTATCTTAGTGTTTCATGAAAACAGCTTTCTTGAGGTATAATATGCATGAAATAAGCTTCACCTATTTACAGTGTACAAGTTGACATGTTTTGACATACATATACATCCTTGAAACAACAGAACATGCCTGAAAGTGAGCCAGCATAGGAAATATCAAGAAGGACTACATTTTACGTTAAACCTTCATCTTGAGGCTCAAAGGTTAAAAGGTAAAATTCCTAAAATGTCTTTTAAGAAGAATTTATAGTAAGCCATAAGCCAGCCATACGGTCAACATCAACCGACCATATCATAAGCCAACGATAGGTGCTGGTGGGAATATAAATGGTAAAACCACTTTGGAAAACAGTTTGGCAGCTTCTGAAAAAGTTAAACATACACTTATTATTCAATTCAGGCATTCTAATGTACCAAGGATCAATGATCAATGACCAGTCCCTGTTCTAGTCAGGAGAATCATTGCCTTGGGGGAGAAAGAGAAATTACAAAAATTATTTGTGTCATCTTATAAAAACATAAAAAAGGGAGGTCCCTGACCATGTTTGGAGAAAGCTAGTGAGTCAGCATGTGCTGATGGGAAGTGGGTGAGCAGAAGCTAAGTGATGGAGGTGACACCATGATATAATTCAGTACCATACCTCCCAAACCCCTCACCCTCTGCAACGGCACAACCCCCTGAGGAGCTCGACTTCCCTCTTTTTTGTGGACTCTCTTGCATACAAGCTATCTCTGATAAACTCCATCTGCTTTCTTTCCCCAAGTTCAGTGCTCTTTTCTGTAGCATCGGAATGCACGAACCTGGTAACACATCCGCCGTCTCCATAAGTTTTCTGAGCCCCTTTATAATCTCTCCCTGGCCTCATCCTCACCCTCCTTTTTTGAAGCAACCACTGATTTGTTTTCTGTTACTATAAATTTGCATTTTCTGGAGTTTTACATAAATGGAATTGCAGTGTCTATTCTGTTGTCTAGTTTAACTCAGCATGATTATTCTGAGATTCATCCACATCAGATAGCCCAATATTTTGATTGCTAAGCACTATTCAATTATATGAATACTGCAATTTGTTATTCCATTCATCTGTTGATGGGCATTTGGGTTGTTTCCAATTTTTGACTGCTACAAATAAAGCTGTTATGAATATTTGTGTCCACGTCTTTGTATGGACATATATTTTCTTTCTTTTGGGTAAATACCTAGGTTTAGGATGTCTGAATCACATAATAAATGTTAAACTTTTTCAGAAGCTGCCAAACTGTTTCCCGAGGTGGTTTTACCATTTTACATTCCCACCAGCACCCTATGAGTTTCAGTTACAACACATCCTTGTCAACACATAGTATGATCAGTCTTTTTAATCTTAGCTCTTCTAATAGGCACATAGTAGTATCTCATTTTGATTTTAATTTGCACTTCCCTAGTGAGATTAATTATGTTGAACATTTTTTCTCCTTTGCTTTTGCTGTCTGTTTCTTGGTAAAGTGTCTGCTGAAATCGTTTGTTTGTCCATTAAAAAAAATAGGTTGTTTGTTTTCTTATTGCTCTGTTTTAAGAGTTCTTTATATATTCTAGATACAAGTCCTTTATCAGATATTTGCTTTGTAAACAAGTCTGTGTCTCCTAGCCTGTGATCTATGGCTTGTCTTTCAGTCTTTGAACATTGTCTTTTGAAGAATGGCAGTTTTTAATTTTGATAAAGTCCAATTTATTGATTTGTTCTTTTATGGATTGCATTTTTGGTATTTTATCTATGGTACAAATATTTTCTCCTGTTTTTTTTCTAGACATTTTATCGTTTTAGGTTTTACATTTTAGTTTATGATCCATTTCGAGATAATGTTTCTATGTGGTGACGTGGCACAATGTGTGAATCTAAACTGATTTTTTAAAATTGTTTTGCATATAGATACAAATGCATACACAATTTAAGCTTCCTAAATAACCAGAGATAAAATTATAATCTCAAAGAAAATACAGATTTCTTTCTGGATAGTAATTGCCACTAAGAACCATTTCCAGATGTACCTCCTTGTCTTTCTCAGGCTAAGTCAATTCAATTTGTAGTTNATTATGCTCAGTGAAATAAGCCAGGTGAAGAAAGACAAGTGCCAAATGATTTCCCTTGTTTATGGAGTATAACAATGAAGCAAGACTGAAGGAACAAAATAGCAGGAGACTCAGAAACTCCAAGAAGGAACTAGTCGTTACCAAAGGGGTGTGGGAGGGTAGGTGGGGAGGGAGGGAGAAGGGGACTGAGAAGTATTATGTTTAGTACATGTGGTGTGGGGGATCACGGGGAAAACAGTGTAGCACAGAAGAGGCAAATAGTGAATCTGTGGCATCTTGCTGCACTGATGGACAGTGACTGCATTGGGGTATGGGTGGGACTTGATAATATGGATAAATGTAGTAACCACATTGTTGATTCATGTGAAACCTTCATAAGAGTGTATATCAATAATACCTTAATCAAAAATAAATAAATGAATAAATAAATAAAATAAATAAAAATGTAACTTCACCAGATAAATAAATATATAAAGAGAGCAGAAGAAAACTTTGAGAGGTGATGTTTATGGCATAGAGAGTAGTGATGATTTCAAGGATGTTTATGTATCTCCAAACTCATCAAGTTTATACATTAAATATGTACAGCTTTGCCTGTATCAATTATACTTTACTAAAATGCTTTCAAAAAAAGAAAGAAAATAAAATTGCAGCCTCATCCATGCTCACCCCCAGAACTCCCAAATCCCTTGCCTTGCTCTAATTTTCTTTAACTTAATTCTCCCAACCTAATACTTCAGTCAACTTACTTATTATTACTATATTTAATGTTTATTTTCTGACTTTCTCCTCTAGAATGCTAGCACCATAGTGCTGGGACCTTTATTTACTGACTGATAAACTTCAAAGTGCTGAGAACAGTACCTGACACTCACCAGGTGCTTAATAAAGATTTTTGAAGAAACGTTTACAGATGCCTGCTTATGTACATAGTACATAGTTTCAATTTATCGTTACTATTAGGTTGGTAAGGTCAACCAGGAGGCCAACTCTTCTAGGTGAGAAAAGCAAGGACTTCTTCATTTGCAAGTTTGACATAATGCCCTAGATAGATTACATCTAAATGGAGCTTCTCAACAAAGGGACTTTGCCCAAAGCCCCATCTTTGCGCAGCGTCCAACACTGTCTTTGGCAGTAAGGATGCTCCGCTATCTGGGTGTGGCCCCGCCCATGTGGTCTTGACTGAATGTCCCGCTTAGTTTTCAGATGCGCCTGAGCAGCTCTGAGGAATGGCTTGTCGGTTCAGGTCTCACCACGAGGAACGTTTCTCATTAGCAGGTCTGTGGAGATCCTTCCTGGGCTGTTTATCCTCCTGCGACTCAAAAAAGCATTCTTCCTCATAATCTCTCTCTTTGTTTTTTAATTGAAATATAGTTGATATGCAATCCTAATAGTCTCTTTTGTCAATCTTTTTCATTATCGATTGCTAAAAACAAAGTGATAATTTCTTAATTTATGATTACAATGGTGATTTGGGCTGAATATTTCAATCCCTTTTCAACTACTCTGTGGTATATAAAACAGTTTCTGATTTACTTATATTACAAATAGAAATATGTTACTGTGTACATTATAGGACAGTAGATTTGGACTCAATATAAGAAATTTTAACAAATAGACAATCAGGATATAGAACAGGCTGACTCCTAATATATAAATTATCCCAATCATTGGAGATGATTTAACTGAAATGCCCGGAAAAGGCAAATCTATAGAGACAGTGAAAATTAGTGGTTGCCTGGGCATAAAGAAGAGAATGGGAGTGACTGCAAACTGGTTGCTTTCTTTTAGGAGTGACGAAAATATTCTAATATTAAAATAATACAACTCTGTTAGTTTACAGAAAGTCGTTGAATTGTACACTAAAACGGGTGACTTCTATGGGGGTGCATATCAGTTTGCTAGGGCTGCTGTACCAAAGTGCCAAGCTCTGGAGGCTGAACGTCCGAGGCCAAGGGGGCAGTTGGGTGGGATCCCTCTGAGGGCTGGGAGGTGCCTGCTGGAGGCTGAGACGGCTGGATTAAGTTCTTAAAATAAGACAGCAGCAATGAGGTTTGTCACGCTGATTGACTCTCCCTTTCATGAACGACTCCTCTGCAGCACAAGATGCTGTTTGATAGCATTTCACCCACAGCAGAACTTCTTTCAAAATTAGAGTTAATCCTCTCAAACTCTGCCTCTGCTTCATCAACTACATTTATGGAATATTCTAAATTGTTTCTTGTTACTTCAGCAATTGTCACAGAATCTTTACCAGGAGTAGTTTCCATCTCAAAAAACCACTTTCTCTGCTCATCCATAAGAAGCAACTCCTCATCCTTCAATTTTTACCACTGGAGGCAGCAATTCAGTCACATCCTCAAGCCCCACTTCTAGCTCTAGTCCTTTTGCTATTTCTACCTCACCTGCAGTTCCTTCCACACAGTAGCTGCACAGCATAATAAACCAAAGTGCAATACAAGGAGGTATGCAAATTATATAATAAAATTATTTAAGAAAAACAACTAATATTAATTGAGCACTTAGTAGGTACTATGCTAAATACCTTACATTTATCGTCTAATTTGATCCACTCAATAACACTGTGAGGTAAGTATAATCATGTCCACTTTACCCATGAAGGAAGTAAGGTTAAATTATTTATGTGGTCATAAAGCCAGTAAGCAGTGCAAACATGATTCAAACCATATTAGTCAGCCTAGATAGTCTATACTTTTAATCCCTATGTTAACACCTCCATGTGCTGGGCCATCAGGTCCTCCAACATCAGTTTTGTAATCTCAATTGAATGCAAGAGAAAACTGAGACTCAGAAAAATTAAGCAACCTGTCCAAGTTCACACAGTCTATAATTGGGCTTTCTCCAAAACTCAAGCCATTTCTAAGTATGATGGTATTTCTCGTTGGATATAACTGTGGCTCTCACCGTTTTGATGGGAGATTTCCAGGGCAAGAAAAAACCTCTTGACACAGAACAGATTCTCAATAGATAGCTGTGGAATAAAGAGAACATACGCAAAAAGGGCTAGTCTATATTTTTAACTTCACAATGATGGTCAAAGGAATCCGCTCATGCTGGAGACTGAGCTGCCACAAGCCTGCAATTCTGGAAACTAATTGGGAAGCAAGTCAGGGGAATCATCTTACATGTAGTTCATGATACAGACCCCAGAAGGTATCTCTGGGCTGAATATCTTTGTATGGGGAAATGGGCATCCTCATAATCTGCTGGTACAAGTGCCACCTGGAGTGAACTTTTCATGGGGCTACCTGGCAATGCTTCTCAAAAACCGTACACACACACACACACACACACACACACACAAACCCTTATGTCCCAACAACGCCTCATCTAAGAATTTGTGTTAAAGAAATGATTGGAAACAACCTAAACATTCAGTAATAAAAGAATAATTATGGTATAATCATAGAAAGGGGTGATATGCAGTCCTAATTGATGTTGCTTTTTATTATTGTTCTAGATAAAGGTCATGATATAGAGCAAAAAATAAAACCAGTTACAAAGCAGTTCACAGTAAAAGAAATGCAAGTAGCCAGTAGGGATATGAAAGGATAGCTAATCTCATTCAGAATGTAAAGTGATGCAAATGAAAGGAAGAAAACATTTTTCACTATGTTATTGGCAAAGAGTTGCCCAGTGGATAGGGTAACAGGCACATTAATGCACACAGTTGTTGAAAGTATAGATTGGAACACATTTGGGGGAAATTTGGCAATATCATTAAAATTTTAAAAATACATATGCCCTTTTTTGACCTAGCAATATTACTCCTAGCAATTTTACTTTGTCCTATAGAAATACATATATATACAGATATGTTCATTACAGCACAAACTGTGGTAGCAAAAAACTTGGAAACAAGTTAAATGTTCATCAATAGTTAAATGATTAAATAAATGTTAGAACATTCATAGAACATTCATACAGTGAAACATAGGTACATCTTAAGTGATGTCAACCTTGATGTGCTATTTTGAAAGGTGTTTATATCAGTCAGGGTGCAGCCAAGAACACAAAACTCACATTAGAAAACCAAAGGAATTTAATACAAGAATTAATTACTAAAGTTTAGAGGCAAACTATTTTATATGCAGAGAATGGGGATCCAAGGACACAGGCAGCTTTCAGGCAAGGCACAGGCAGGCAGGGAGTTGGGAGGGCAGGGTCAAGTTTCCTCTGACCAAGGCCATGTCTTCTACTCTCCCTGCCTTTCTTTGTGTACAACTTCACTCTCTGTAGACCAACTTTCTACTCTTTCCCAAGCATATTGCTGCATGAGCCCTAGTTTGAGCATCAGAAATTGCTGAAGATAATCGTAGGAGATAATCTGATTAATCTAGAGTGAGTTCAACATCTGTCCAAATCCAATCATCTCTAGGAAGGCAGAAGGGCCAGAGAGTTCACCTCTGTAAGTGAGGATTGCCTTTCTCACCAGAGCAGCCTTGGCTGAGGAGATCCTGTACTATTGGCAACATGGGAAACTGGATTGGTACCGCTGCCATCTAAGGTAGGGAATTCATAGTGGGCAGAAGATCAGAACGGAAGAGGGTCACTTAAGTTTTGGACATGTTCAATTGAGATGCCAATAGAACATCCAAATACATTATCTAGGAGGGAACTGAATATAGAGTCCAGAGATCAGCATGGAAATTCAAACTGGAAATCTGGGGCTGGGACAATCAGCATAAAACAGTATTTGAAACCATGGGTAAGAAAAAAAATGCTGGCCCAAGACAGAACCCTAAAGAATAAAAAATATTTATGGGATAAACAGAGGAAGAGGGAAAGCTAAAAGAAATGGAGAAAAATTGGACAAAAGAATTGATGAAAATATAAACAAAAATCTTAGAGAAGGGAAAGAGTAAGTTTCAAGGGAAAGGAAGTGGTCAATTCTGTTAAATTACGATAACCCCTGTAAACTGCCCAGTGGAATATGGTCCCAAGGACTCTGATGATATGGGCATCAGAGTGAAGGAAGGATGAGTTTAGGTTAGGAAATGGACTCCTCATTTTTAATGCTTTGCAGTCACTCATGAAACAGGGAGGTGCCATGCCTTGGTGAGGTGAAATAGAAGAAGTCAGTCTGTGTTTATGCTTCACAGTTCTGCCAACCTCTTTTCCACAGGGTAACTTGGACTAACCTAGTCAGCTCTGGACATTTACAAAGGCCCAATATTACGTTTTTACTCTGAATTCAGAGAGCAAATCTGAGAGTTCCTCCCTCTGGACGTTGGTGATTCCTGAATATTCCTAGCCTGAAACATTAGAAGGCTCGGTCACCTGCGGCCCTGGGGTGCCATGTGGTCGTCTGCCTGTTTGAGTATGGCCTGTGAACTAAAGATGTTTCTTACATTTTTCAAAGTTTGACAAAATGTCAAATGAAGGATATAACACTTTGTGATGTGAAAATTACATGGCATTCAAATTTTAGTGTCTTAGACAGATTGTCTAAGAACACAGTGCCCATTTGTTTAGGAGTGGCTGCTTTCATGCTACAATAGCAGTGGCAGAATGTATAGTCCACAAAGCCTAAAGTAGTTACTACCTGGCCCTTTTCAAAACACGTTTGCAGACCTCTACCCTAGAAGATTGGACAGTGCAGTGCTGGGACTTCAGGTTGCTCTTAGAGAGATAAAAATAGCTTAGCTCTGGTGGCCAAACCTCAATAAAAACTTACTCTAATTTTGTCAAATCTTCTCAGGTCTTAAATATAGGAACAACCCTGGTATAAGTTGTTCTGAATGCCCTCATTTCTGGCCAAATCCAGGAGTTTTTGCCTTTGACTTATTTGTGTTTCCTTGAGACACAGCTAGGCAAGACTCTGTGCCTAGTATTGGGACAGGCCAAAGCAGATGGAGGGAAAGCCAAGATCTGTAACTAGACTCGTGTTTTGGTGTGGAATGGAGCCAGCAGGTACTGGAAGTTAAGCAGCAGAGAACAATAAACTGCCAGCCACCGTTTATTGAGTACTTCCTGTATGCTGGGCATGCCAAGTGCTTTACATAGTTATCAAGATAAACAAAACTAACTCCCTTTTTCCACCAAGAGTGCGAACTTCGAATGATGATAAAATGAGTACATCATTGTTTCACATGGATCTGGGAAACCACCGATTCCAGATTTCCGTTTTCAGGTGAGTGAACCACAATACGAAAGAGAGGCAAGCAAGATGCTGCGTCTGGCAGTTCAGAGGAAGGTGAGCTTATCTGGGAGTGGGGAAAGGGATATTTGGGCCTGGAGGAAGGAAATATTTATAAAAAGGAAGAAGATGGAAGGTGTGAGAGACAGGAGATTGCAGGGTACATGAAGATTCTACTGGTGGAAATGGAAGGTTCGAATTAAAATTTTTAACTTACAAATTTATTTTCAATTTGCCATGAAAGCCCTTCTGACTATGCCTAACAGCAGAGGTCTTCCTACCGTCAATTACACACTGACTCACAACCCTACTGCAGACTGCATTGAGGTGCTCCAAAGGGTGTGGCCCAGGATCCCCAGGATCCCCTGGATGGGCAGCAAGGTATGGGCAAGTGCTTGCGGGAGTCCCAGCAGCAGCCACTGATCATGCAGCTTAGATGGGAGGGAGGAAGGCGCTCACCAGCCAGCATGGAAGCTGCCTCAGCTGACAGGCCTCACTCCCCTCAGGAGCTGATACCTCTTTTAACAACTTCATAGGTATGGCTTCCAGGGTTTCTGTGAGAGACACATCGATTACTAGAGTCACAGCACTCAGGGAAGCCCCAAGATGTGACTTCATGCCTGGGACTGATAGTTCCTCACTCCAGATGCAGTTTACCCAAGAGGGGTCATTTTTCTCCTATGCGCAGTGCTGCCTAGCAGCAGGGTTGACACACTGTCCTCATCACGTTGCCTCAGAAACAAGCTAGAAAGTTAACTAAGTGTCAAATTCTCATGCAGAAAGGGAAGAGGTTTTGTTAACCCTTTACCCATTCTCCCTAAAACCCACTTCAATTTCAGTGCTTTCCTCAAAAGTAACTCCTGTTAATAACTTTCAAATATTTATTGACCACCATTTGTATTTTTTCTTTTGTGAATTATGTTATATATGTTCCATAGTATATATAATAAATACACATAATACAACATATTACATGTTACTACTATCTATGGCATATATATATATTGAAGTACTGCTGTATACACACATATAAATATTTTTATTTGAGTATTATCAGATATGTAACCATTTTTTTTATCAGGGCAGCTTGTTGCTGGGAGTGATTAAGTGTTGGGGCTTCGGAATTACTTGAGTTTTCTCAGCTCAAGTGCTTCCTAGTATGTGCCCTCCTTCAACCTTGAGCAAAGCATTTAATCTCCTTCAACCTCACTTTTCTTATTTGTTAAATGGGGATAATAATATGCATTAATTGGACTGTCTCTAGCTAAGTGTGGGGCCATAAAGCACTCATTAAATATAACACTTGGCATTATTTTAAAAAGTGAGATAAAATTCACACACTACAAAGTCCTCAAATCAGTGGCTTTTTAGTATATTCACAAGGTTGTGCAGCCATCATCAATATCTAATGCCAGAGTATTTTCATCACCCCAAAAGGAAATTCTGTATCCTATTACTTCTGACCCTACCCCATCCTCATCCCTTGGAAACCCCTAAACACTTTCTATCTCTACAGACTTGCCCATTCTGGGCATCTCATGTAAGTGAATGGTACATATGTGGTCTTTGTGTCTGGCCCCTTTCATTTATCATAGTGTTTACACAGTTCATCTATACTGTATATGGCATTTTTCAGCACTCCATTCATTTTTATTGCTGAATAATAATCCATTGTATTGATATACACCATTTGATTTATCCATTTGTCAGTTGATGGACATTTGGGTTGTTTCCACTTTTGGCTATTATGAATAATCCTGCTAGACATACTCATGTACAAGTTTTCGTGTGAATATATGTTTTCAGTTCTCTTAGGCATATACCTAGGAGTAGAATTGCTGGGTCATGTAACTCTGTTTAACTTTTTGAGGAGCTCTCGAACTATTTTCCTCAACAGCCACACCATTTGACATTCTCACCAGCAATGTGTGCTTCAATTTCTTCACAACCTTATGAACACTGTTATTGTCTGTCTTTTATCACAGTCATCCTAGTAGGTGTGAAGTGGTATCTCATGATGGTTCTGATTTGCACTTCCTTAATGACAAGTGGTCTTGAGCATCTTTTCATGTGCATATTATTCATTTATATTTCTTCTTTGGAGAAATGTCTATTCAAATCTTTTGCCCAACTTTTAATTGGCTGTCTTTTTATTATTGAGTTGTGAATTCTTTATATGTCCTGGATACTAGCCTCTTTTCAGACATAATGATTTGTAAATATTTTCTCCCATTCTGTAGATTGTTTCATTTACTTGATAGGGTCCTTTGAAGCATAAGAGATTTTAATGATGAAATACAATTTATCCATTTTTTTCTTTGGTTCCTTGAGCTTTTGATGACATATCCCTATGTATTTTTTTTAAGTTATTATAAATGGAATTGTTTTCTTACTTTCATTTTCAATTCACTGTTAGTATATGGAAATAAATTGATTTTTGTGTATTGATCTTGTATCCTGCAAACTTGCTGAATCCATTTATTAGCCCTAGTTTTTGCGTATAGCTCATAGGATTATCTGGGTTCAAGATCTTATCATCTGCAAATAGAAATAATTTTACTTCTTCCTTTCTGATCTCAATGCCTTTTATTTCTTTTCCTTGCCTAATTGCCCTGGCTAGAATCTCCAGCACAGTGTTGACTAGATGAGGTAAATGCAAACATCCTCATCTTGTTCCTGATCTTAGGAACTGAAAGCATCCTGTCTTTCACAATTATGTGCGATGTTAATTGTGCATTTTTCATAAATGCTCTTCATCAAATTGAGGAAGTCTCTTATATTCTTAGTTTGTTGAATGGTTTTTTTGTTTGTTTCCACTCATTTAAAAATATGTATTACTTTTTTAAAAAGGTATCATTGATATACAATCTTATGAGGGTTTCACATGAGCAGCATTGTGGTTACTACATTAACCCATATAATTGAGCCCCACACTCCCACCGAATAGCACAGTCTATCAGCATAGTAAGATGCTATGGAGTCATTGTTTTCTCTGTGCTATACTGCCTTCCCCATGTCACCCCTACATTATATGTGCTAATCATAATACCCCTTAATCCCCTTCTCCCTCCCTCCCCACCCTTCCTTCTCCACCCCTTCCCTTTGGTAACTGCTAGTCCCTTCTTGGAGTCAGTGTGTCTGCTGCTGTTTTGTTCCTTCAGTTTTGCTTCATTACACTCCACAAATGAGGGAAATCATTTGGTACTTGTCTTTCTCTGTCTGGCTTATTTCACTGAGCATAATATCCTCCAGCTCCATCCATGTTGCAAATGGTAGGATTTGTTTCTTTCTTATGGCTGAATAGTATTTCATTGTGTATATGTACCACATCTTCTTTAGCCACTCATCGACGGACGGACACTTAGGTTGCTTCCATATCTTGGCTACTATAAAAAGTGCTGCAATAAACATAGGGGTGCATATATCTTCTTGAATCTGAGAAGTTGTATTCTTTGGGTTAATTCCAAGGAGTGGGATTCTGGGGTCAAATGGTATTTCTATTTTTAGTTTTTTGAGGGACCTCCATATTGCCTTCACAATAGTTGAACTAGCTTACATTCCCATCAGCAGTGTAGAAGGGTTCCCCTTTCTCCACATCCTCGCTAGCATTTGTTGTTCTTAGTCTTTTTGATGCTGGCCATCCTTACTGGTGTGAAGTGATATGTTATTGTGGTTTTAATTTGCATTTCCCTGATGATTAGTGATTTGGAGCATCTTTTCATGTGTCTGTTGGCCGTCTGCATTTCTTCTTTGGAGAACTGTCTCTTCATATCCTCTGCCCATTTGTTAATCAGGTTATTTGCTTTTTGGGTGTTGCAGTGTGTAAGTTCTTTGTATATTTTGGAGGTTAACCCCTTGTTGGATATGTCATTTACAAATATATTCTTCCATACTGTAGGATGTCTTTTTGTTCTACTGATGGTGTCCTTTGCTGTACAGAAGCTTTTTAGTTTGATGCAGTCCCATGTGTTCATTTTTGCTTTTGTTTCCCTTGCTTGAGGAGATGTATTCATGAAAAAGTTGCTCATGTTTATATTCAGGAGATTTTTGCCTATGTTGTCTTCTAAGAGTTTTATGGTTTCATGACTTACATTCAGGTCTTTGATCCATTTTGAATTTATTTTGGTGTATGGGATTAAAAAATAATCCAGTTTCATTCTCTTATATGTAGCTGTCCAGTTTTGCCAACACCAGTTGTTGAAGAGGCTGTCGTTTCCCCATTGTATGTCCATGGCTCCTTTATCGTATATTAATTTACCATTTATGCATGAGTTTATATCTGGCTCTCTAGTCTGTTCCATTGGTCTATGGTTCTGTTCTTGTGCCAGTACCAAATTGTCAATTACTGTGGCTTTNATTATAGTGAAGTGCATACAATGGCCTGGAAGAAAACAGCACATCATCCCTCAAAATAATCCAGAAGGATATATATGGTCAAATGAAAATTCTATCAAGGATGACAAATATTCTGTTTGATTTTTTTCTGGGACTGATCGTCAATTGACAGTCTTTCTCTCTGTTCTCTCTTCATGCTTAAACAATGATGTATAGTCACATTACTTAGATAGAACTTAAATTTCAATACTGGAAACCAAAAGTGATCTGTGTGACAGGATGATGTCAGGGAAAGAGCAAAATATTCTGTTAACACTTTTTTTGGTGAGATAAACAGATGTCACTCATCATTGGTAAAGGTCACAAGGGGTGCTGAGACACATTCACTTTGTTTACCATAATCTAATGGTGTAATATATGAGTTGGGCCTTAGTCGACGTCAACCAAGAAGGACACAAAGAATACTGGGTTGGATATTAATGTGAGTCCTGCCATGTGCTTTTTTCAGTTTTAAGCACATATTAAACATTTAGAAATGTCAACATTTATCCATTTTCTGTTATTGTTATAGAATGGGAAGCATGGCTGGTGTTTAAAGTTATAGAAGGCAGCAAAGAGAAGACAACTAAGTTAAAAAGAAGTAGAACAAGAGACGGATCCTGACCCATTGCTAGGTGACAGCCTACAGGTCACACGTGGCCCACCACCTATCATTATATAGTTTTATTAGAATATTATTTGTTTACATGACAATTTTTAATGTTTATTAACATAATATAAGTTAATTTATTTACACAACAGCAGTATTGAGTGGCTGTGACAGAGACCATACGTCCCACAAAGCTGAACTATTTACTTACAGGCCCCTAACAGAAGAGGTCTTCTGACCCGGAGCGTAGATGCGCAGAGACGCGGTTAGCTAGTACCTATATGATCTCCTTGTCTTTGGTCTCAACCTCAAGAGTTTGAAGTCTATTACTATTTAAAAGAAAAAGAAACAACACTGGAGACAATGGGACTAATGCTAGAGAACTGGTACCTGAAATGTCTTCTACAAGAAATTTCAAATGATCTGTTCTTTTAATATTCCATCCAATAGGATTTACCACCACCGTAATCTTCTTACTAATGGCTAGCAAGGTTCTTCTTAGTGTTTTGCATTTATGCCACCTAATGTTTGTATTTGATATAGTTGTAAATTATTCCATTAGTTAAAGAAAGGTTTGAGAAGTTTTAGGCATGAGCAACATATAATTAAAAATGCAACATTTTGAACATGAGAATTAGTATTATTAAGGCAGAAAGGCCTTAATTGTAGATTACTAGTCTGAGTCACACTGCTGGTTGACACAGTTAACTACATAGTCCCATAATCTCCTACCTATAAAATATGAATAGAAGCACTACAGACCTATCGTACTGCTGAGAAAATAAGTTACCTTTTTATCTTCTTTAAAGAAGTGAGCTGTTTAATTAGCTGAGTTTCCTTTAATTGTTCTTAGTCTTATCTTTGTGAAGTAATTAATCCTTAGTAAATATTCTCTTCTACTTGTGGAAGAATGGAGAAATAGAGATCAAGACCTTGTACAATATTTTTTTAATTTTTATAATTCTAAACAAAATTTGCCACTTAAATCAAAAAACTGTTAAGATAAAACTCACATAGTATTCGTTTAAAGCATTTTTAAAATATAGGATTCAATGTTTTTGGTATATTCACAAGATTGTGCGATCACCACTATCTACACAGTATTTCATCACACCAAATGGAAATCCCCTTCTCCCCGTCCCCTGGCAACAACTAGTCAACTCTTTTTTTTTGCAGATTTGCCTATTCCGGACATATCATATAAATGAATCATACATTATGTGGCTTTTGTGTTTTCCTTCTTTCATGTTGTAGCAGAATCATTTCCTTCTTTGGGTTGAATATTCTATTGTATGGATATACCACATTTTATTCATCAGCTGATGGATATTTTGTATTGTTTTATTTTTGGTTATTATGTACAATTCTGTCACAAACATATGCACAAGTTTTGTGTGAACATGTTTTCATTTCTCTGGGATACATATCAAGAGTAGAATTGCTGGATCATCAGGGTAACTAAGCTTAACTTTCTAAGGAATTGCCAAACTATTTTTTAAAGTGGCTATACCATTTTACATTCTTACCATGAGGGTTCCAAATTCTCCACATCTTTATCAACTTTAGTTTTGTTTAAAATAATAGCCATCCTAACAGGTATGAGGTGGTATCATCTTCTTGTGGTTCTGACTTGCATTTTCCTAATGACTAATGATATTCAGCATATTTCCTCATGTGCTTATTGACTATTTGTATTTCCATGAGAAACTTCTATTCCTTTGCCCACTTTAAAATTGTGTTGTCTTTTTGAGTTATAAGTTCTTCGCATACTTATGGGAGATGCTACTTAAAGCTAACACAAAAGTAAGAGGTGACAGAGGGCAAGACTAAGACATGACATATTTTGAACTCTTGTATTCACCCATGCATAAAGTCAGACTTAACCTCTATGAACTTAATTTTATAAAACAAACATATTTTGGGGGACTAATCTGACTAGGATAATGGAGGGACGATCTCCCATGTCAGGATTCCTCAAGTAAAATGGGACTTGTCCCCGCTAGTTTTTCTTATCTATCCCCAGACCTTACCCTATACTGTGAGCACTGGGGCAAGAGGAGAGGAAAGCTGAATGACAACTGGCACATTCAGAAGTGCCACTCCAAACCCCAGAAGGGCCCTGGCAGAAATTTCAGGCCACAGAGACCTCTGCACAACCCCCATAATGCTAATAAATACAACTTAAAAAATAAAACAACAAAATAAAAAATAACCAATCCACCAGGGCAGGTAAGTAAAACTTAAGTATCTTGTTAACATGCTAGAGCAACTTGTCACATTTTTCAAAATACTCTGCTACTTATGTTGATTGCTCCACAGCTTAGGCAACATGGCATTCAGAGTTAAGTACTACTGAATATTCATATTAGATGAGTCCAAAAGCAGAGAGCTCATCATGTGGACTGGAGAAGAAAAGTAGAGAAATTAGGGATAGTATGTGAAGCTGACACACAGCTGCTTCCCATGTGTCTTTGGAATATGCATGAGGGATTAAATATTTCCCTAAGTGAAAACAAGACACTGGTATTACAGGCAGAACGATACTTAAGATACGATCTTTGCTGTCAAAGAGCTTCTGTATGTTATGTTTGCCAGAGATACGTGGTCACAATGCTATAGACACACATTAATTGTAATGAGAGAGTTCTAGGTACTCTGAAGAGGAAGAAACATATCAAGATGCAGAAATAGGATCTGTAATCCACATTTATTGGGTAGTTACTGGGCACTGGGCATACCAGTTACAAGAGTTAGGATAGGGAAAGGTAAGAATTTAAGAAATTAAATACACACAGTAATTTTACCACTCATCTAACTACTAGGGAAGTACAAAATCTGTACAAGTTATACTTTATAATGAAATGCTGATACTTGTTAAAAGGATAAGCTCTACACACAATGTAATAAAAAAAATTTTTGTGTTTAACATCACTGGCATTAATATGGGTGGCACTAATATGGGTGGATAAAATGCCTATACAGCACTCATTCTTATTATACACATATTACTTCACAATAAAGATTGCTTGAAAAGACAAATACTTTGACCCCATTGCTGAGAAATGGTCGACAGTATTAAGTTCCTCTAAGAAACATCAGAGCAGTTGTAGTCCATTTCTTCTTTAAAGTCCACCTTATTTTCAGTTTAGCTTACTATCAAGTTCTCTTCAGAACTGTTTATATCTCTTTTGTCTGATCATCTTCTTCGAGTTTTCTGATTTCATTTTTTAAGCAATTTATAGTTTCACGACTTGCTTTTAGTCTCTCCTTAAGCTCTGCAATTTCAAAGCTTGTTTTCTTTTTCGCAGCCTCTAACTTTTCTCTGGTTTTCACTTCAAGTTCTGCAACTAAGGAAAACATTTTTATTTAATCACATATGTCTACGATATGTCACAGAGTAATAAATAATGGCATTTCATTTTTCAGCTTCCATGATGAAATGTGGACAACTTAAAATACGTAACATTAAACATAAGGAGGTAGGTAAAAAAGTCTGAAGACTTTCTTAGAGTGAATCTAAAACGTTTTTTACAACTAAGAATGAAATTCTGGCCACTAATATTTTAATTAAGTTAAAGATTTTAAGACATAAAGTCCTTTTTTTTCTCCATATTCATTTGGAAATAAGAGGACAACAATCTACATCGAGCTAGTAGGAAGAGCTAACCAAATAAAGTATTTTTAAATTTATGTACAGGTAAAACTTACATAAAGAAAATCACACTGGTAAAACAAACCCACCTATTTTCAAAAAATAACTGTGCAGGTGTAAGGTCCAGCTTCACCATTTATTAGCTGTGCCACTCTGAATAAGTTAATTATCTCTATGCTTGTTTCCTCATTTCTAAAACAGAGATTAAAACAGCAAACTCCTCATAATATTTGTTGAGATTTTAAGTGAATTAATGTATATAAAGTATATAGAATGCTGTCTGGTACATAAGCCATATTAACCACTATTATGACAGAGGAACATTAAATGTTTAAAATATTCTAGCTGGCTACATAGTAAATTACTAAAGGAAATACACCTCTGCAAAATAGGAAGCCTATTTAAATATTCTCCTTGGGCAGTGTAGCATCAATGTTTTACAAAGAAAAATGCCTACTTTCATTCAACATTTCCATCTTGTGGGCATTTCAGGTAATAGCTGCTAGTGACTACTAAAGCATAGTTGTATTTTTGCTAATATAAGATGATCACTAATTGGAGGCAGCATTGTTTGGTAAGAAAAAAACAGACTTTGAAATGAGACTGAGTTCAAATACAACCCTGGCTTCTTATTACCTAAATGCTAGTATCTCTAAGTCTCTCTCAATCTCTTCTTTCTTCATGATATGGTTAAAATTTTGTATTTTTCAGAGGACTTGTGAGGATTAAGTAGTACATGTAAAAATAAGCAATAATGAGTCCTTTTTTGGTTCACTGCTGATAACTTTTTTTGTGACACATTTTGTAATACAATTGTTTTATTACCAAAGCAAACTATATTTTGTTTATAATTTTTCATTTTTATTGTAAAAATTGTTTTTGAAAAATACATAGTGCATACATGATACAAAATTAAAAGGCCAAGAAAGTGTAGATAATGAATAAAAATGTCTCCTTCCACCCCTGCCCACCAACCAGGGCTTCTTCCCAGAGACAATCACTGTTAGGTTTTTGGTATCTTTCTAGAAATAACCTGTTCATAGACAAGTATATACCTAAGTGTGATTCTTCTTGCCCCCAAGTGGTATCATACTATCCACATTACTCTGTACCTTGCTGTTTCACTTAATGTTCTATCTGAAAGCTCATTCCACATTAAAGATGTCTCATTTTGTAATGGCTGCAGAGGACCTCACTGAATGGATTAATTACTCTGTACCCTTTGATGTACATTTGGAGCATTTCCATTTTTTTCTATTACAAATGTTACAATGTGTAAGCTGTGCACGATCATTTCGGTACACTTATAGGATAATCAGTATACTTGTAGGATAAATTAAGGTAAGTATAATTGTTAGGTTGAAGGACGTTACGTACTTGTAATTTTGGAAGAATGCCAAGTAACTGTTAGAGGTTCCATTAATTTATAATCCCAGTAGTACTGTATGTCTTTTTTCCTACTGTATCAACTTTTTGCTCTTCATCAGCATGAAAGGTGAAAAATGATATTTCAGAGTAGTTTTAATTCACATTTCTCTTATTACTAACTGAGGCTGATTCACCTTTGTATATGTTTAGGAGACATTTCTCCCTTTTTATGAATTGTCTTTTTCTCTGCTCATTTTTTTCTATTAGGTTACTGGCTTTTTAAAAAATTGTTTTGGAGGTGTAGTTGACATACTAGTTTCAGGGGTAAAACATAATGACTCAATATTTGTATATATTGCAAAATGATCACCACAACATCTGTCACCACACATAGTCACAAAATAATCTTTTTCTCTTAGCAACTTTCAAATATATAACACAGAACTATTAACTACAGTCATCACACAGTACCTTATATCCCCACGCCTTACTTTATAACTGCAAGTTTGTGCCTTTTGACTTTCTTCACCCATTTCACCAACTCCCTAACACTCCACCTCTGGGAACCACCAATCTGTTCTCTGTATCTAGGGGCTTGTTTTTGTTCTTCTTTTTTACTTAATATTGCACATTTAAATGAGATCATCTGGCATTTGTCTTTCCCTGTCTGACTGATTTCACTTGGCATAATGCCCTCAAGGTCCATCCATGTTGCTGCAAATGGCAAGATTTCCTTTTTTTTTATAAAGAAATCATATATATTCCATATTCCATATATACACACACCACATTTTCTTTATCCATTCACCCATTCGTGAACACTTAGGTTGTTTTCATACATTGGCTACTGTAGATAATGCTGCAATGAACATAGGGTTGCACATGTCTTTTTGAGTAAGTGCTATCATTTCCTTCAGATAAACACCCATAAGTGGAATTGCTGTATCACATGGTAATTCTACTTTTAATTTTTTTGAGGAGCCTCCATACTGTTTTCCATTTACATTCCTACCAACAATGCACAGGGTTCCCTTCTCTCCACATCCTCACCTATTTCTTGTTTTTTTTAATAGCCACTCTGACAGGTGTGAGGTGATATCTCACTGTGGTTCTGATTTGTATTTCAATTATGATCAGTGATATTGAGGACCTTTTCCTGAACCTGCTACCCATCTGGTATGTCTTCTTTGGAAAAATGTCTATTCATGTCTTTTGCCCACTTAATTGGATTGTTTACTTTTTTGGCTACTGAGTCATATGACTTCTTTATATATATATCAGATATATAATTTGAAAATATTTTCCCCTGTTCAGTAGATCACCTTTTGATTTTGTTGATAGTTTCCTTCATTGTGAGGAAGCTTTTAGCTACTGGTCACTGGCCTTTCTTACTGATGTGTAGGAGCTCTTTATATATTAATCACCCTTGTGATATGAATACAATATTTTTTCATGGTTTGTCTGTATTTAGATTTTGTTTATAGTGGTTTTTACTATGCAGAAATCTTTATTCCCTTGCTCCCTCTCAGTCCATGTCAATTAAAGAACGTATACTGAGTGAAAAGCACTTTGTTAAATGCTGGGGTCAGAGTCAGGAGACAGACAAGAAAGAAAATGCAGTACAAGGTCATGATGCAATCACAGAGAACTATGAGAGCCGACTAGATTCATACCAAGGCGAATATTAAGGCAGACGTCTTGTCAGTAGCAAAATCTGAACTGAGTTTTAAAGAATGAGAAAGGAATCAGGTAGATGAAGTAGACCTACCAGGCCCTAGAAACAACACATATACATTTGGGAAACAATCAAGAGTCCTGTATGACTGTAACAGGCAGTTTTACATCTAGTCAGGAAGATCTGACTTAATTCATTTGTCAGAAGGACAACATTCACTGTACTTATAGACACTTATTGTTTGATTTAGTCATTACATATTATTTTTGAAAAATAGTTAAGGCTGCAAAGGGCATGATACATCTGGAAGAAGACCTGGGTTAATTAACAATGAGATCTTAAGGGAAAACATTTTAAAATTTCTTTTATCATGTTCCAGGTTTCTGCTTCCTATATTAAATGATTATGTAAGAAAGAACATTTTCAGTTTTAAATTTCCAAATGAAGCCTAAATTTAAAGCAAAGCAATCCAAAGAAGAATTACTATTTTTGCAGAGTCAATACTAACTTACAGGTTAAAAGCACTGACTATAAGGTTTTAAAAAAAAAGAGATAGAACACCTTATAGCTTAAGAGCATGGACGCTGGATTTAAATCCTGGCTCTGCTGGGTGACTTGGGGCAACTTAATCAAATCTCTCTATGCTTTAGGGTCTTCACATAAAATGGGGCTAACAGCAGTACCTTCCTCCTAGGGCAGTTAAGGGTATTCACTAAGTTAGAAAATGTAAAGCGTTTGTCTAGTACACAGTAAGCTCTCACTAAGTGCCCCCCATCATTTTAGTTACTCCTCAAAGAAGCAGTTACTACCATTAAAAGCTAGATCATTAGTGCTTAAGTGAATTTCCACGAGTTTACTAGCATATAAGTATCTTTACAAACTTTTAATATGCTTCATACTGATCAACCTTTTTCCTGAAAACTACTCCATCTAAAAATACTAATATTTTCAGAGCCTAAGTTCTGAGAACTGGGTGGGATAAAGTCCTGGCTCAACCACTAACTAGCTGGGTTAACCTGGGCATGTTTCTTAATCTCTCTGTGCCTCAGTTTCCTTTTCTAGTGGACTACCCATTAAAGTTACTGTAGATTTAAATGATTGTTTATACATGTACAGATTTAGGAGAGTATAAATAATAAGCATTCAGTATATCTGATATTTTATTGGCAAATATTAAGTATAATGCCCTCAAATTGGTAAAGGTATATACATATCTTTTTCAGTCCTTTGAATAATGGTCCCACATTGCTTTCCTAAAAGGCTAAAACAATTTATATTCACACAGACAATTCATGAGAATGAAAGGTTCACCACATCCTTAGTAGGTGCAACTATTTAAAGACTCCTTTTGCTGATTTGATACAAATCATTGTGACACCCATTACTGTTTGGCTTACATTTTAAAAATAACCAGTAGGGTTAAATATTTTCCCATTTTTTTTTACTACTCATCTCCTCTTTTATCTGTCTGTCCATGTCTTTTATCCCTTTATCAACTGAAGTTTAAAATTCTTTCATATTTATCTATTTTAGGGTTTTAAAGATATTAATCCTTTGCATATTTTCCACAAATTTATTTTTCTTCTTTGTCCTTTTGGAATGCCAAAGTTAAATATGTTTTACAAAATCAAGTTTCTCTCTTTTAATGTGATTTCTTCTAACACCTCAAATTTAGAAAGGCTTCCCTGGACAGAATAACCTTACCTCTAATTTTTTTTTGGCAACAGGTTGACTGACTTGAAAAAAACTTTATCTTTAATTAAACTGGAATTTGTTTTGGTAAATGCTATGATGCAATGATCAAAATTAAGTTTTCCTCCTAAAAGCTTATCAATTATGCCAATACCATTTACAGAATTATCTTTCTTTCCTATTGATTTGATACTATTAAGAAAATAAACTGACAATGATACAAAACATGCAATTTACTGATAAAAACTTCCCAAGGTTATATAGCTCCATATAGCCAAATAGAACGGCCTTTTTATAAAATACATTATTTGTATTTACTTATTATACATAAATAAATGATACTAGTTTTACTCAAACCATGAAAGTGTGGGCACTTGAATTATAAAAGAGAATGAATTGGGTACATTTCATGGTATAGGAGGAAGAGAAAAGATCTATAATGGAGAGGAAATGACTGAAACCAAGTTAAAACAGCATTATTAGTAATGTTTTTACTTTTCCAAAGTGATCATATACATATCTGTTTTATGTTCATAACAAAACAGGCCAGGTAAATATTTTTACAAATGTAGAAAGTGAAGCATACAGATTTTAAATGAGTGTGATTTTAAACTTTACATCACTACCAAGCATCAACATTATTCAGACTTTTTAAAACTCTTAATCATGGGTTTCATGAAAACACAAACAGAACAGTACTATGACCATTAAACAGCCACCTCCATCCCACTTCTCCCCTGCATTCTCATCCTCCACACCTTCTATTACTTCTATTATTTCTTTCATCCTATAAATATAGTAGTTTATTTCCCCTGAATACTACTCTCTTGACCCCATATCCCACTTCTGCTACCCCTTCAAGGATTACTGCTTCCCTTTTCAGCCAAGCTCCAAAACAGAGTTGTCCGTGGTGCTCCTCTCATCTCATTATCTCTTGATCCACTCCAATGATCTCCTGTCCTTACTGTTCTCCTTCAACTGCTCTTGTTAAGGTTACCAAGGACCTTCACCTTGCTGTAGCTCGTATCCTGGCTCTCATCTTACCTGACCGATTAGCAGTACTGGACACACCTAATGACTTTCTTGATACACTTCCACATCACAGGCACCTAGGTTTTCTGCATCCATACTCATTGTCCTTCCTTCGCTTTCTTTGCTCGTCATCTTAATCTCTAAATGTTGGTATGTCCAGGGCTCAGTCTTTAGATCTCTGTTCTATTTTCACTCACTCCTTTGATGGTACGATTTGGTCTCACAATTTATAAGCCCATCTGCATGTTAACTTCCAAATGTGTATCTTTAGCCTAGACCCCTCCTCAAATACTAGACTTTTGGGCACAATTCTCTTTCCAACAGCATCTCCACTTAGATGTCTTGCAGGCATCCCACACCCAACATGTCTAAAATTGTACTATTGATCTTTCTCCAAACACCTGCCCGTCTCAGAATTCCCCATCACTATGAAAAGCAATGATAGTTTTCTTTGGTTCCTCAGACCCCACACCCTAAGAGTCATTCTTTGTTCATTTCCTCTCCTGTTTTACTATTCAAACCATCAGGAAATCCTATTGCACTTATTGTCAAAACAGATCCAGAATCTGACCCTTTCTCATCACCTCTATTGCTATCACTGTGGCATCACCCACCTTTCTTTCTTACCTGGATTTCTGCACCTGCCTCCCAACTACTGTCTCTGCTTATTCTATCTACCCTTTCTGCTTTATATTCTATTCTCAACAGCAGCCAGCATAATCGATCTTTTTAAAATGTTAGTCTTACAATAATGTCCCTCTTCTGCTCAAAACCCACAAGTGAGTTCACATCTCTTTCTGTTTAATAATCAACTCAGAAGTCTGTAATACGACCTGGTGCCCTACTAACTTCTCTGGCCTCAGCTCCATTCCTTGCTCCCTCTGCTCCAGTCACAATGGCCTTCTTGCCTCCTTCGATACGCCAGGCATGCTCTGGCCCCAGGGCTCTTGCCCTTGGTGCTCGCCCTACAGGTAACATTCTTCCCTCAGCCACGTGGCTCACTTCCTTACTCCTTTAGGTATTTCCTCAAATGCCAAATTTCAGGAAGCATTCTCTGACCTGATATTTAAAACTCCAAGTACCTCCTCCCACCAAAGGCACTCCCTCCCCTGCTTTATTTTTCCCATACCACCCAACCACAACCTTGTTCTATTTATTTAGTATCTGCCTTTCTCCCACTAGAACGTAAGCTCCATAAGGGCAAGGCCTTTTGTCTGGTCTGGACACTGCTCTATCTTCAGAATCTACAATGCCTGTCATATAACTTGTGCTTAATATATGCTCTAAGCCAATGAATCAAAGATCACAGGAACAACTGAATGAATGGTGACATAAATGTTAACACAGGGATAGCAAATAGGTTTCATCTTCAATGCCAACTGCAAATGATTGGCAACAGGTGCATTTAGTGATATGCAGGGGATTCTGAAGCCATGTCAGCTAAGAGGGAAATACAACATGACTGATATTAATGTGTATTTTAGTATTCACACTCCAGCATTAATCTGAAACTATGTAAACATGACAGATTTTTTAAAAAGAGAGATGAACTTGTTTACAGCACAGTATCCCCCCTTACCAACTGGGGCTATGTCCCAAGACACCCAGTGGATGCCTGAGCCCATGGAATAGTACCAAACCCTATATATATTATATTATTCCTACACATACAAACCTATGATAAAGCTTAATTTATAAATTAGGCACACTTAAGAGATTAACAACAATAATAAAGTACAACAATCATAACAACGTACATGCAGTA